CATATCTATTGATGGAACTTCACTAAAATTTCCTTCTTCTTGATAATCTATATTATAGCACGTCGTAAATTACGTTCATAAGCGTCTAACTCCTTAGTTTGCTGAATTTCTTTCGCCAAAAATAAGAATCTCAACATGAAATTTTCGAGAAAGAATGATAACATACCAATCGTTTCTTGAACGGCTCCGTTTAATGGACGATTCACAGTAAATCAATCTAGAAACAGATCGACGTGTCTCTTAAAGAAAAGACCAGTTCGATCTGCTATTCTCAGCTTTAGCGTTTTAACAATGGAATTCTTGCCGAAATGATTGACATTGTATGTTATGTGCTAAAAAGACGAATTAATAAAGTAAAGTTCAGAGCTAATTGGGGCGACGTGTTTTGTGTTATTTATCAAAATATTTATACACTCATCAGAACTCTGCGTTGCACATTTCAAGCACACAAAAAAATAAAGAAAAATTAAAACTAAAAAACAAGACTGATTTTAAACATAAGAAATAACAATAAAAATAGCAACAAAGAGGAAAAAGGCATTGAAGGTGTAGGTGTGAATGAAGAGATGATCCACACCCACCCCATCCTTCGACTTTTTCGATTTTTTCTTCTAGTATTTGTACACGATTTTCAATTTCTTGTAATTTTGCCAAAATAGCTTTGTTTTACTGAATTATTGTGTTTAACAACTGCATCACATTGTTTGTCTCTGTTGTTATTGTTGTTGTCATGGTTTGTGGTTCATTATCCTGAAACAGTTTTAGTTTCATTATTCCTGTAATAAAAAAATAAATTGGATTTTCATCATCCCTTTCTGATTGAAAACAAATCACTTTATTAAAATTAAATTAAGTTTACACCTCTCCATCCTTTATAATAGATTTTTCACTTGTGAAGATCCATTTGGGCTGAAATTTTCAAGTATGAGTAGTCTTACGAGGGAACATTCCCAAGTGATCCGCTGCGTTTTGATTCATTCACATCTCATTCGGAACAGTATATTGTGATAAGAAAAAGCCTAAAAGAATTCGTGCCCATGGTTTACTGGTGAAAAGTTATGACCGTTTTACTGAAATTTTTACTGTGAGCCAGGCATTTAGGGAAAAATCAAAATGAAGAGTTTCGATCTGAAATTTTACCTATAGATAGATTTAATAGTCATTAGATAGTTCGGAAAGTTTCAACGAAAACGAACATGCCTTTCTCAAGTTATTCAATTTTCAAAAAACCAGCTGTTTACCATAGACGAGCACAATAATCCAGTTTAGTTGGACATTGAATATCTCGAGAAAGACATGTTCATTGTCGTTGAAACTTTCAGGACTATCTAATGACTATTAAATCTATCTATAGGTAAAATTTTAGGTCGAAATTTTTCATTTTGGTTTTTCCCGAAATGCCTGGCTCACAGTAAAAATTTCAGTAAAACGGTCATAACTCTTCACCAGTAGACCATAAGCACGAATTCTTTTAAGCTTTTTCTTATCTCAATACACTCTATCGAATGAGGTATGAATGAATCAAAAGGGAGCGGATCTCTTGGGAATGTTCCCTCGTGAGATAAGATCCAAGCAAACATTTTAATATATACTTTTCTCGGAAAAGAATTTTTGTCCAACGAGAATTCTACCAGCATCTTATATAACAATCAGACAAAGGACACAGTTATAGACAGCATAATTTGATAGGTTTGTGATAGTACAAAGTGTAGGAGTGTAGTAGACAGTTTAGACACCAAAACTGTATACAAGATAACTGAATACTGTCGTCGTTTATTTTCATAGTCATCATTATATCATATTATTATGTACAAATATAATAATAAATTGCTTTCAGTTTTCATATTCGAAAATGATAGACGCCCCTTTAGATGATTGTCACATATCAAAGAGCAATAGCAATACTATCATATCTGAGTCATATGAGTGTAGATGTGAGTGTGGTTATGGGTAGGTGTGAATGAAAGAAAATAAACGTGCACCCACACATTGGGGATTTGTATAGATTTATCCTTAATATTTTTCAAAACTCATAATTGCATAAGGAGCAAAAAGAGATTCATATGAATAATTGATAGTTAAAGGGCATCGACGTTTAATTTCGCTTAAACAAGAGAATTCGTATCTGCATGAACAGGTCTTCTCAGCTCCTCATGAAAGTTTGCATTTAAGATAATAAAGGCATTGTTGAATTTCAGTAAAATTGTGAAAATTTAATTCTACGCATTCTTTAGTGCCGTCACAGCTCCCATTCGGCAATGTCCATCTCCTATACACTAAATTTATTTCACATGTGTAAAATTGATCACGTTGACTAGTACATTAATGATTTTTTAGTAATGAGCTTTGAAAATCCAATCGATTACTAATGCATTGTCCATCAGCACATAATCATCTATTCGGTAAACAAATTCGACCATCACATTCGAGAGTCGATTTTTGAAATGTACAATTTACATCATTGGACATTTGTTGTTCGTCTGTTAACTCCATAAAAACATACTCTCCATCAAGAAAATATTCATCTACAATACACATTCCATTCATACATCGATATTCATCATCGTCACATTCGTTAAATTCGAGTATATCATAATTTTCGTCATCCAAATCGTAGATTGCTGTACGCCGTCACAAATATCTCTCCAATCAAGGCATAACAGGATGAAGTCACATTTCAATGTGTTATAACAGATAATATCTCCATGGATTTTTAATTGTTCTTGATTAAAGAAGGGTGTGGATGTGGATCTGAGTGCGAGTCTACTCTTCATACCCACAACTCACACCCACACTTTTAAGCTGAACTGATTCATCAGTGTGGAATGACAAAAATAACATGTCAGCACATGAGATCTATTATTGAACTCTGTAATGCATTAACATGATGCGAATACTTGATGAATGGTTTGATAGAAGTGACATTGATGAAATGAGTTCTAAAAACCTTTGATTTATGAAGATGATATTAATATTTACAGAACACTTTACTTATTTACCAACCATTGGAAACGACTAAAGGTTTTTTGTAAACATTGAATAACAGTAATTGATATTCACAACGGTTAGAAAATGAAATTTAAATTGGAAATTCTCTTGTATTATACATATAAGATTATATGAATGAGCATCATGAGGAAAATATGATATAATCTTTGTAAATGAGTGTAGCAAAAAAAAGCGATGTTTTTATCAATAGGATATTCATGATAGACAGATAGAAATGACGGACGCTAGTTATTGATGAAATCAATTTGATATTGAAAGAAAAATCTAAAATATTTTCGCTTGTTTCATATGGTTGTTATGTAAGCTCTTTTTTGAAGAGCTCTAAAAAAAGTGGTATTTTTGGATGCGTACATTATCACTACTTTATATTCTTGTACAGTTGTCAAATATCGTGCTACAATGTAAGTTTCAGTTCTTTGTCACATTAAGTTGTTAAGCTAACATTTATATCTTTTGCATAGACAATATTGTATTTCCAGAAGGACAAAAGCAAAGATCCTGAAATTTTCAATATAGATGGGCCCTAGTTAAATTTACCATCCATGAAAATTTTGTTCATTTTAGCCTAGTCACAGCAGAGCTATTTCCAAAATACTGACCGTTTTGTAATTTAAGTTTTTTTAGATTCGGTAGTAATAAGTGTCATGCGAATAGCTCTACTTTTGTTCCGTCAAAATGAAGGAAATTTTCATGCATAGTAGATCTAACTATAAACCATCTATGCTGAAAATCTCAGGATCTTTGCTTTAGTCTTTGCAGAGATATGGTTCATCAAAGACAAAACGAATGGAATTTCATAACGTTAAATATGATCAAGATTCAGAACAGTTAAAAATGAGATCGAAATTTATGCNAATGTAAGTTTCAGTTCTTTGTCACATTAAGTTGTTAAGCTAACATTTATATCTTTTGCATAGACAATATTGTATTTCCAGAAGGACAAAAGCAAAGATCCTGAAATTTTCAATGCAAATGGGCCCTAGTTAAATTTACCACCCATGAAAATTTTGTTCATTTTAGCCTAGTCACAGCAGAGCTATTTCCAAAATACTGACCGTTTTGTAATTTAAGTTTTTTTAGATTCGGTAGTGATAAGTGTCATGCGAATAGCTCTACTTTTGTTCCGTCAAAATGAAGGAAATTTTCATGCATGGTAGATCTAACTATAAACCATCTATGCTGAAAATCTCAGGATCTTTGCTTTTGTCTTTGCAGAGATATGGTTCATCAAAGACAAAACGAATGGAATTTCATAACGTTAAATATGATCGAGATTCAGAACAGTTAAAAATGAGATCGAAATTTATGCATCACCCTCGATATACATATATGTATAGATTCCAATCGAAGATTTTAGTTTTTTTTAATAAAATATGAATTTGACATGCTAGATGATGATCGAAGTAAGTGTTTATACAAATGACAACTAAAGATAATCTATTATAATCCATTCGTAACAGGTAGAAAATTAAGATCGTCATATGTCAAATAGGTCAATTAATGAAAGTTACTATAGAATTTGATGTCTTTAATTTTCACTCTACTTGCATCACAATCATTGACCAGGGCATATTATTCATGATGATGTAAACAAAAACGCGTCTGCTGCTATGCTTACTCATTATCTGATTCATCGATTGGTTAGTATGCATGCATTCTGTAGTTGTTTTTATGGTTGTTATTGCGTTCTTTATTATGACACGCAAACATTCATAAGTTTTTCTCTTTTTATTCTCCAGCTTCTTCTTACACAAGCGCATATGCAATACATGGAGTATTTCAATCGTCAATAATATTATTCTTTTGCATTTTTTATTTCTCGTTACTTCAATCATTTTGACGAATCAAATTGAAAGGTAGACGTTGTTAAGTAGAAAAAAAAAGATGTCGAGTAATGAATAAAAAACACATTGCGTTTAAGTTTTACCTTGTTGTATCGTTCTTTCGATAGAAACGAAACAGTCTCATAGAGAATTTACCTGTACATACCAATGGCATCATCATCATCATTATTGACGCCAGAATTACTTCGACTCTCATCAATACCACTTTCACCATTGGAATACTTTACCGATTCATCAAATACGATCAATATCAAATCTGATGTTGTTTTAGTAGTTGGTGAAAAAAGATTTTATTGTCATCGTTTATTATTAACATTAGTTTCACCTGTATTTGTACGTATGTTTGACGGACCATTTAAAGAACATAACGAACAAGAAATAGTTCTGGAAGGAAAATCAAGTGAAAGTATACTTGAATTATTAAAATATATTTATCCACAATTTAGTGGTCAGATTACAAATGATAATATTGAAGATTTTCTTCAATTGGCTGATGAATATATGATTGAACATCTTAAACAACCAAGTAAAAATTTTTTACTTCAACAACTTCAATTATTCAAATTTGTTGTATTACCAACACAAAAGAAACTTGAACAAGTATTCAAATATCTTTTTCTTTTTGCAATTCTATACTTTCATTATATCGATTTTATAGTCATCTTCAAAATCAAAAAGTTTTCATGCAAGTGATTCAGCATTGAATTCACCAGGTAATAACGAAGATAATTCGTCAGGACAAGGAAATTCACGTCGTCCTTATTCATCAAACCGAATGAGTTCAAATTCTCGAAGTCCTACTACAAAACCCAGTTCATCGTATCTTAAACCCGGTGATAAAACAGGGTCATCGAACAATCCATCTCATTATGTACTTCTTCTTGATAAAACTCAAATGCCTACTTTCTATGATGCACATAACACGCAAGTTCCATTTAGTAATAATGAACTTGAAATATGGCTTCGTCGTCTACAAATTCTTTATCAAATTGATAAAGGTCGAAATTATGGTGAAGTTATTGATTATATTTTAAGTATTCTTCAATTTATACCTGCTACTCTACTTTTATCTCATATACATCTGACAATGAATACTTATACAACAGATGAAATTATGCTGAATGATTTAGCTCGTGCACGAATGTTTGCTCTTGAAGAATGGGCCACTGATGGTAATCCACATCGTTCAATAAGTTTAACAGAATCTTATCGAGCAATGTCTCCTACTGCTTTGATTATTGCTCAACAAGCAACAGCTACTATAACAGAAGTAACTGATGACGAAGAAAATTCTTTTCAACCAACTGTAATTACAATGTCCGATGATGAAGAAAGAGTTCCAGCGAATATTTTAAATAATACAGACTAAACTTTTTCTTTACATCGATTCAAAAAAAAAACAAAAACACAATTTTTTGTATGAACCTCAGCGCATGTTATTTTTTCTCATCGGCAGTAATATGAATAGATTTTTTTTATTTTATGTTTTTGTCGAATTTTGAATAAAATTCACAGAATTAATGTTAACAAAAATATAAAGTGATATATTTCAACGACCTCTATTATAAAATCCTCAAAACATGTGCAAGTAATTTACCAATCATAATTTTTCTTGCAGTTATGTTACCTCCTTCTTTTTCTTAAATATGTATCGTTTATTGTCAATTTTTTATAGTTCAAAAGGACAATAACAACAGCAACAACATTTGTCTTTGAATATAAAATCTCTTTTAAAATACAAAAACCAATTCTTATGTCCTTGATTAATTTAAAAAATATTCTCTCTTGTTCAAGTGAAGATCGAGTTAGTTCGAATCGACAAAAACTTTTTGTTTTTCAATTTAATCAATTTTTCAATTTAGATTCACTGTGCTAAAAATTTACTTCAACCAGAACAATATAAAAAATGGCTATCATCTAAACGTACTGAAGACCGTATAATATGTATTCTTGAATTTGAAAAACCTAGTTTGATATCATCTGTTGATATTGGTAATGATGGTAGTACATTTATTGAATTATTAGTTTCTCAATCATCATCATCAAAACCTGATGATTGGACTGTTCTTTTACCTTCAACAGTTTTCATGACTCCAAATGAATCACGTTCAAATAAAAATCGTAATCAAACTAAAGTTTTCAAATTTTCTCATTTAAATAAAACATGTTTAAATGAAGAATGGGATCGATTAAAAATAATATGTGAACAAAAATTTAATCATTCAAATCAATTTGGTTTAAGTTTTATTAAATTATATTCCACGATCGATGATAATCAACAAACAGAAATATGTAATAAATCTTTAACTGATATTATTGATGATGATAAACATGTTTCATCAAATGTTACTGATGAATTATTAACTAGAAAATCAATAAATGATAATAAAAAACGAACATCAAAAAGAAAAGATGTTAAAGTAAAAAACAAAACAAATAATTTTCATTTAAAAATTTTTTCCTTTCATCTTTCAGAATGATAAATCACAAATAATGAAAAATGTTGTTTTTGTTTTAAGTGGTTTTCAAAATCCCTTACGATCACAATTACGTAATAAAGCAACAACAATGGGTGCTACTTATAATGATGACTGGGATGAGAAATGTACACATCTTATGTATGTATAGATAATTAAATTATTTCAATACAAACAACAAAAAATATATCCTTAAACAAAAGTCTGTCATTCGCTCCCTTATTTTTAAAAACATTTAATATTTGCTTTCTTTTTATTATTGAACTAATGTCTAATATAATACAGCTCTAGACATGACTCAGTCTTATGTAATAATTGTTAATGTGTAAAATGTGGATCGAAATCGCGAATAGTTTTTTCCATCATTCTTTCGTAAGATTTTTAACGTGACACTTTTTCTATCTCAATATTATGAAATTCTATTTCGAAGTACATTGGGATTGCCAAATGGCAACAAAGTGAAGACCTATTTAATTTATGGCGACGCGAATATCGAGTCAAGTATTGTTAGACTAATAAGAAGGCATTCAAACTTGATGACAAAGGAAAAGTTTGGTACTTTTCAGATGTCACCAAAATTGTTCTTCGTACAATTTAATACTCTCTCAAGTTGAACGTTTTGGAATGTCTTTCAAAAACAAGAAATTAGGAAAGCTCTGTCAATTGACTTGGCTGGTGATTATATGTCATATTAAAATAAAATACCTTTATTATACTTTAGTTCAATATGATGAAGAAAGCAAATGTTAAAATTTAAAAAAAAAGAGAAAGACAAAGATTTTTGTCTAGTCGTGTGAATAAATAAATCTATTAATTTTAGTTGTGCATTTTCAAATACACCAAAATCTACACAAGTTCAAGAAACAGGAAAAGGTTTTATTGTTAGTAAACAATGGATCATTGATTGTTTAAAAAAAAATCAATTATTACCTGAGAAATCTTATGAATTAATAGAAACAAAGGATAATGACACAAAACAACAAACACCAAAAAGAAAATCAGTAACAAAAAAAAGAAAAACACAAAATGATGAGAAAACTACTGTTTCAAAAGATACTAAAAAGAGAACTCCTGTGAAAAAAAAATCTGTCACAGTCAAAGAAGGTGCAGCGAAGAAGAAAAGAATTGAAGAAATACCAGATTTTTTTCATGGAAAACACTTTTATGTATCATATGGTGATTATGAAGATAATACACTTCTGGATATAACTCGAGTTATTCTTGCTTATGATGGCATTTTGGAAAGACAAATTACTTCAGATACCAAATATGTGATTACTAATCGAATGTGGAATCAAGATTTTGCAAAGGTTTAAATAAATTTCACTGTTTACAGTTATTTAGGAATAGTATCGGGTTACAACTTTTTTTTCACAAGCTAAACACTTTTTCTCTAATTTCCTCGTGTGATACAAACATTACAACAAGTACTACTTCGTACAGATATAATATTAAGTTTATAGTTAATTAATAATATCCACCCATGTGATTCAAACCGGAAGAATATCACCGGTAGTGCAAAGAAACATATCACACTGGCATACTTGATAAAATTTTCTGTTCATTCATAGATTCCAAGAGAAAAAAAAGGGCTCTAATAACTAGATTGCCATTTCTGTGAAGCTCGAATAGAGAAAGCGGTTGACTGCACAAGTCTCGAATACCTTAGTAGCTTCTCTTGTCGAAACAGATCTCAATATAAATTCCTTTTTAGTATGCTATTGACATGATACTAGTGTTAAATATACATGAAAAATTATTTCTCAACATTTTCCCCAGATATTTGAGACTTTGTCGTGAATGAATTCAAGTCACACAAGTTATTACAATCACTTGTGTTGTCTTAAATTTTTTCCATTATAAACATTTATTAAAAATAAATTTCTATGAATGAAAAATATATTCTTATTGGTCATACTAGTAATAGAAGAAAATCTGAACTAGTTTTCAAAGTTTCTTGAAATCCTATAATTAATTATATATAAGAGCATAGACACAATCTCTCAAATGTAAAACCGATCAAGTTATCATTATTGTCATAATATGTTGAGATGAAGAAAGTCAACATTCTCATTCTCATCATATTCCTCTCATTCACTTTATCAACTTCTTAGATTTATAATATCTGAATAAGAAATATTGATTTTATTAATTTAAATCTTTTTCTTTATCTATTTAGATCTCAAAATCAAATCCCGATATAAATTTTATTAATCTCGATTGGTTACAAGATTGTCATGATGCAAATCAATTTGTACCAATGCAATCATATTTAATTGTTCCTTAGAGTGAACATAATGTGTTTCTTTTTTAACCAATGCAGATAAACAATAAAATGAATAATGTGTTTTGTTTTATTCTTTTTGTTGTTCAATTTATTGTGATATAAGAATAAAATTATCTTTGATTTCAGATTAAAAAAAAACAAAAACAAAATGACTGAAGCAATGATTGTTGATCAATCAAGTACGACAACGATCGGTAAGTTGACTTGTTTTAATTTTCGTTTTCTTTCTATTATATTTATTCACATTGTTTTAAAATTTCGTTTATTAATTTAAAAAAAACTCGGTTTTGTTTTTTTCTCTTTTCTTGTCCATGTTGCAGAGGAACATTTATCAATTGTGTGAGTTTCGTCAATCTACATTCAATCATCGACGACCAAAAAAAACTAAATATATCAGACAGCATTTAAAAAGAAAACATGTTTTATTTTGTTCTTTTATTTCTCCCTATTTTAGGTACCCAGCAAGAATCTACTTATCATTAAAAAAAAACGAATCTTTTCTTCTTTATTTTTTTTGTTTTTTTCTCTTTCTCTCTATCCCTTTTTCAGCTACAATATTCAAACATCTTATTCGTATGCCTGATCGTGTAGAATTATTTATTCTAAAAGTTCGTATATAAAAAAAAATATATATTTTTTTTTATTTTATAGAGAATACTAATGAATCTCAAACAGCAAATGGTATTGAAAAGAAAAAATATTCTATACAAAATGTTCCACGTTTACCACGTGAACTTACACCATTTGCACAATTTACAGCTATTATTGAACTTAATCAACGTGGACCATTATTCAAAGGACCAGGAGCTAAACATGATACAGGACGTTATAAAATTCGATTATCAGATGATGAAAATATTAAACGTGCAAAAAAATATGCTTTGGAACAAAGTGTTAAATATGTTCTTGTCAGACAACAACAACAACAACAACGTGTACAATTAGATAATATTAAAAAACAACAAGCACTTTTATTAATGTGTCGGTAAGAAATTTCAAAAAAAAGTTTCTCACAATGAAATGAACATATCAAATGTTCGTTTTATTTTGTGAAATACGATCTTAAAAAACAGAATTGAAACATAGAGAGTAGAAATTGCACCTCCCACAGACTGTGTCAAAGGCTAGGATTAACGCGTCAGCATCAGAATTCTAGTTACGAAAAAAAAAATACTAAGTATCCTTCGACTTTTGTTATAGTATCGGGAATTGGGTGTGGCAGTTACTAGTGGCGACGCCAGGGGTGGGCTCAACCCACCCTGAAAAGTTTTGGATATCGATAGTTTTAAGACGGTTCTTTATTTAGTGAAAACCCAGGGTGGACTCAGCCTATCCAGACGAAAAATTCTGGCACCGCTACTAGCAGTTACCATCGATGCTCTCTCCAATAAGAACGTTTATCAGTCTTTCTCTGATTAGCAAAAACAGTTGCATGAAATTTCACATTTTAATCACTCAGAAATTGTACTAACAACTTTTTTTTTCATTTAGAATTTACATTGGAAGTATTAATTTTGAATTAAATGAAGCAATGCTTAAACAAGCATTTCACCCGTTTGGTCCAGTTAAAGCTGTTTCATTAACATTTGATCCCATCACTAATCGTCATAAAGGCTTTGCTTTTCTTGAATATGAAATACCAGAAGCAGCACAATTATCTATTGAACAAATGAATGGAGTTATTCTTGGTGGAAGAAATATTAAAGTAAAGAAAAAAAAAATACAAGGAAACTTATTAATAATTTAACTTTTGTTTTGAAACAGGTTGGTAGACCATCGAATATGCCACAAGCACAACCAATTATTGATCAATTAACTGAAGAAGCAAAAAATTATAATCGAATTTATATAGCTTCAATTCATCCAGATTTAACAGAAAATGATATTCAGAGTGTTTTTGAAGCTTTTGGTAAGAAAAGAAAAAACACAAGAATTTATTAAATAATAATATGTTTTTTTTATAGGTAAAATAAAAAGTTGTACTGTAGCAAAAGATCCAGCAACAAATAAACATAAGTAATATTATATTTTTTAATATAATTACTAAATAATTTCATACATGCACTTCTTGTTTTTTTTCAGAGGTTATGGTTTTATTGAATATGAAACAATTCAAGCAGCACAAGATGCAATTAATTCAATGAATTTATTTGACCTTGGTGGTAAATTTTTCATTTGAAAGAAATTTTTTTTTTCTAAATTTATATTTCTTTCCTTTGAGGACAATTTCTTCGAGTGGGAAAAGCAATAACACCCCCTGAAGGTTTATTAGCTTCAGCTCCAGCAGCAGCAAATTCAATGCCAACAGCTACTGCATTAGCTGTTGCTACAATTACAGCTCAATTACAGGCTAAAGATGTTGAAACAAATTCACAACCAACTATAGTACGTTTATTTTAATAAATAGTTCATGTTATTCTAAGTATTTGTGAATATTCCTAAAAGAGTTCTTATCATTTGTTTATTACTGCGAAGATTCTGTACTTTTACGGAACTGATTTTTGAATGTTGATTTGTAACTTTGCATAGATACACATGTTAACAAGTTTCCGGATGAGAATCCTTATCATTCTTTATTTTCGAGAAGTTTAAACTCAAGCATCATTATTAAGTATTTACATATAGCTTGAGCTAGTCAGTCATAAGAAGAACAGCAACCGATACTTATAATGAATGTATAATATTAAAATAAATCTTACTAGAATCTGAACGAACCCAAGTAGTCAACAAACATTTACATGCACTTCTGGATGATCTATTTTCATAAATAATAGTAGAGCATAACTAGTGGATATTATCAACATAGTCTAGTATTCACTAGAGCAACTCCAGATGATCGTTTTAGGGTTAATGAAACATTTAATTCTTATAACTATCTTAACCTGATTCTTATTATTTTTTTTCGGCTGCTTCACAAATAATCAATCATCCATTGACACAAGTCGGATTTATTGGTGGTCCTATTGCACCAACAACTGTTGCTGCAGCTCTCTCTGCTGCTTCATATTCTGGTGCAACAGCCGTTACATCAAGTATGAAAAGCATTTTTAAAGAATCTTAAGTCTTTTTTCTTCTTAAAAAACTTATTTTTAGTGATTTCTACTATACTCAATCCGACTACTGTTATGACAAATTCGATTCCTCAACCTGCCGTTGTTGGTTCACCTGGAATTCGTTCAAAGTAAATCTTTTATAATAGTTTAAATTTGATTGATAGTTTTTTTTTTATTCGTTTATAGTTTTACTGCACCACCTGTATCAAATGTTACCAGCTCACCATCAATACAACAAATACCAGTTCCACCTCCACAAGGTAAATTTTTTTTTCTATTTATAATTTAAACAAAAAATGAATCTTATAAATTGATATACATTTAGTTATAATTCCACCATCACCATCATCGACATTGATTCCTCAACCAACTACACTTGAAGAACCACCTATTCCTGTTGGATTAAAACCTGATTTAGAACCAAAACAGCAATATCCATCAATTTCACTTGTTTTACCAGCAAATAAATCTGAAACAACTGACAATCAAAAACCTAGTTTAGCTTTAAATATTGCTGAAGATTCTACAGTGCCCTTATCTCAGCAAGAAGAACTTAGTGTTAAAGGTATATTGAGTTCTATAACGTATAAAAGACGAAAAAAAAGAAATCTCGTTTTTCGTTAATATTAGGTCGTGAACAAAGACATTTATTAATGCAAAAATTAAATCAACGTCGACTTGAATCACGTGTGTGTGTATTAAGAAATATGGTTGGTCCAGAAGATGTTGATGATGATTTACAACAAGAAATAACAGGTTATATTTTAATTGATTTTTTTTTGTTTATTTTGAAAATTTCCTTTTATTCTTGCAGAAGAAAGTTCAAAATATGGTGAAGTTATTAAAGTTGTTATTTATACTGAGCAACAAGAAGAAGATGATAATGCAGAACAAATTGTGAAAATTTTTGTTGAATTTCAAACAAATAAACGTAAGCGTCATATTTTTTATTAAATTAACAATTTTATATTTAAAACAAATGTCTGTATTTTTTGTTTTGTAGAAGCAGAAAAAACAGTTCAATCACTTAATAATCGATATTTTGCTGGTCGAATGATAAAAGCTGAATTATATGATCAAGCAGCATATCAAGCTGATGATCTATCTGGTTAAAAAGACACTAATTCTTTCTTTTTTTTTTGTATATGCTTCTTCTTCTTCTGTTTCCTTTTTTGTTATATAACAAATATAAAAAGACCGCACATATAGATAATTCATATGAAATTCTTATGATTTTTCCTCTTAAACTGCAGATAAAAAAAAAAGAAAGACTATGAGATTATCTCCGGTAGTACGTTTTCTATCATCGAATGGATTTTATGTTCATATTAAAAATAAAACTCCTGATTGGCAACCATTCTTAAGTCAAGGTGAAAAAATTATTGGTTATCCATCATCATTACGTTCATTAGTTAATCTTAAATATTTATTTAATGAAGAAGTATCAACATTAATTGGTTATTTAAGAAAATTAGTTGGTACACAACATCCATTACTTAAACTTGCTACGAATATGTTAGAAAGTCCACCGAAAGCAGCACATTCAAGATCAGTTTTACTCTTATTAATATCAAAAGCAGCAGGAATTCCACAAAAAGCTTATCAAGAAGATATGGTTAAACATGGAATTCATCAACATCAACGACAATTAGCAGAATTAATTGAAATGAGTAATGATTGAATATTTTCAATGATTCAGATGCACTCTGCTAAAGTTGACACGTCTAAACCGTTCATGCTAGTTTCAAAATCCAAATCGACCCCGGTCATGATATAAATTTTTATTAGTACAATAGATTGTGAAAACATCTTTTTTGCCAAGTGGAAGAAAAATGTTCGCAAAATAGAATCACGAGGGAGATAGAGACAAAAATGACTCATTGCAGAATCAAGACAAGATTTATTATTTAGAAAAAAATTATTAATAAATCATATTTAAATATCTAATTTTTATTAGATTCATAATCAAAATCATCCTTGTCAGTGTTGTATCGAATATCTTGACGTGTGTTGATAACCAAAAAAAAAAATTGCTTTCTCTTTTGATAATAATTAAGATGAAAAAGATCATCGAAATACTATTGCTTTGCGTGAATCAATATATTTTCATTTGTCACCGGTGTGTTTGAAAATGAGAATTTAATTGACTATAGTATCCTTCTACATAGTTGTTAGTTTTTGGTCGAATTTCAATGAGATCAAATAAATTCCTCAATAAGGGAGGAAACAAAGCAGCTAGAATTTATCTACGAAGAATGCTATTTGTTAATTCAGGATAAATTTTGGTTTACATTACTAATTTCTTCAATAACATTTCAAAATATTCTATAAATTCCTCGGAAATCGAGCTATCCATACCGATCATCTAATGATATCTATTTTCACTTGTTTCCATAATATGGACATTTTCTTTCTTCACTTAAGGAAAAATATCGACAATCAAGAAGACACAGAATTTTGTTTAATTATTTTGTTTGTTTTAGTTCATTTGGGTATTCTTGGTCATCGAGGTACTGAAAATAATATAATACGAAGAAAAGAGAATTTCGTTTTTTTTTGTCTAGGTATTGTGGATTTAAAAGATCATCACAGTGATTTAGAACAAGGAAATAAAATAGCAGTCTTGGGTGGAGATTACCTCTTATCACAAGCTTGTGGCAAATTAGCTGAGTTTCAAAAACCTCCAGTAACATAAAATATTTAATTTACTTTTATTATTATTTGATAGTTTGTATTAGGTTGTAGAAACTATTGGGCATGCTATTGCAGATATGTGCAAAGCAGAATTTTTTTTAAAAGATAAACAGTCACTCTCATCATTAACAGAATGGTATCAGCTAACTGCGCTGTAAGTATTTGGTAGAACAATATGTTAGTTCATTCATACCCACCGCACATTTGATAAATAGTGCATTTAAGTAACTTCAGATTGTCTATTAATATCACTGACCTATGTGCATGTCAGAAATAATACTTCAAGAGAATATTTTTGATCATTTTTCTTATAAATATAAACAAGAAACTTTCTTTTATTAGCACTCCAAAAACAAGTGTCAGTCCATTTTGTAGAAACAATGATGGAAAATACCTTAACTTTTCTTCTTGACAAGGTAACTATTGGCCTAGCCTATATATTATTAATAGATCCATCACATGTATGAAGTACCTGTAAAAATTTCGGACATTCATGGTTACTTTAATTTTTAATTGTACATGAAGTTTTTTGCAAATAAATATTATGTATTTATTTGATCATCTAAATCTAATTAAATATATATAAATATGGAAAATTAACTAAAACTTCATTGAACTTCTTTCTTATTTATTCAATAATTTCCTAAAAACTTTTGCTGTAAAGGATATTCTTTGACATCATAATCCGTCGATTGCTAATTATTATCATCCATGAAATAATTGATATTACTTAATTCTAATATTTATTAAGTTAATAAAATATCAATAAATATATATTGATTTATTTTAGCTCTGTAGCAAATTTGGTTGCATCAGGTTGTCGTGCTTCTCTTCAATTGGTTGATCATTCATCATCATTTCAAGATCAAGCATATTATTTATGTCGACATATTATATTTTCATGTATGATGTATAATGATATATCTCAATATTCATCATCATTTTCAAATGATTCATCATCATTAACACTTTATGGAACTGTACCTATGAATCGTTCATTTCCTTTTTCAATAATGAATAAATCAAATAATGAGAATGTAACTTTTGAACAATTAAATAATGAACAATTACTTGATCAATGTCGTAAACAATGTTTAAAAGAAAGTAATAGAGCAATAGAATTACTTCAAACAAATTTTGATCAGAAATCATCAGCAACAATACTTCTACGTTCAATTATTCAACAAATTCAAGATGGTCTTTTGTCAAAAAAAGTTATTTAAATTTTTTGCTTTTTTTTTTTTATTTGTTTTTGTTTCAAATAGAGAAAAAAGCTTAATAGTTTGGATTATATATAAATGTTTGCAATTTTTTCATTTGTATCTTCATTACCATAAACAGGTGTTATTGAACGTACAGATTTATAAGCATCATTATTATTTAATAATTGAATAGAATTTTTCGTTGCTACTCTTTGTTCATCATTTAATTCAAAATTTTCATAGTCATCGGCATCATCATCAGTTAAACGACTTTGAACATGAATCATATTTGTGGGTGTTTGACTTTGTTGATTTCGTACTGCTGATAGACGTGCTTCAATTTTTTCTCGATGTTTTTGTTCCACACGTTGACGACTAGAAAACAGAATGAAAGCAACAAAAAATTGTTTAAACAATTTCTGTGGGATTAAAAATGTGAAACATGATATAGCTGTAATTCATATCTTCAAGGAAAAGATTGCTAAGGTGTTCATCATGATTTATGATGGGAAAGGGAGCGGATTCAAATTTCTATCCTATATACTTCCACATTTCTTTTAGATCGTGTTTCACAAAAAGTTAAAATAATGAAAATGAAATTGTTCCTATTTACGCTAAATTTGCTTCATGAGCTTGATCAATTATTTGACTAGCTTCAAGTATATTTTGAGTTCTAGTTTTTTTTTCATTCATTTTTGTACGTAATAAATTATTTTGTCTTTCTCTTTCATGTTCTAATTTAACGTCCACACCACCCATTTTATCTATTATCTCTGCTGTTTGCTAAATAAAAGGAAAAGAAAAGAATTATTTTGATTTTTGTTTTCTATTTGATAAATTTAAATACTTTTTCAAGAATATCAGCAGACAATTCAGAGCTTTTTCGATTTTCTTCTGCACGTTTTCGTCGTTCACGTCGACGAATATATTTAATAACAGCAGCTTTATCTGATGGATGTTGTTGTTGATTTTGATCCGTTGTAAGAAGTGCTTCAAAATATGCTTGATATGTTAAATTCATACCTGAATTTGGACGAAGATCAGCAAGACCATGAATATCATGTTTTTGTCGTAGAAATATTGAAATTGGTATTGCATTTTCTTTAAAAAAAAAACAAAGAATAATGAATTTTTATTAAAATTTTTTTTACCTTTTCGTCTTTGTATGGCTAATTCTTTATTTCTCATAATTTCTTCAAGTTGTGTTTTATATTGTGCTTGTGATCATATAAAAAACAGTCATTTTAAGTCTTAATATTGTGTTTATATCATGTACCTTATTATAAATACAATAAAAAAAAGAGACTGTTNACTTTTTAACATATCCCGACTTTCATCTAATGTAGTCATCATATTTTGACTATCTTCATTTTTTAATTGCTTCAAATGTATGTAAAATAAGTTCCTGCAAAAATTTGTTTGTATTTTGCATATAAAATAATTCATATTCTTTTAGTCTTACTTGACTTTGTGGAGTTAAAGTTGCTAAACCAGATGTGGATACTTTTCTACGATCAAAACTTTGTACACGTTTATCATTTGGAGTTATTATTTGACGAAATTTTGTTGCTGAATTTTCTTTTCGTTCTTGTTGTTTTTGCTGAAGATATATTTCATTTGTAGATGATACTGATAAACTACTTCGATCTTGCATTGGTGTTGAATATCCATTTGAGTTCATTGTTTTTTCACACGCAATAAAAACTTTTTACTTTTAATTTGAGTAATAAAAGAGAAAAAGAAATATTTAAAAGTGCAGTGAAATTAGAAAAACAATTAGACGAGCTATTCAAGACAAAAAACGGAGAAAAGACAGGAAAAAGGTGAGAAAATGAGTAGGTGAAAATAGTAGTTCAATTTTTTTTCAAGTGTCGATTTCATTCTTTCTTTTTTTTCCATTGTCTTGTTTAATAGAACATGAATGGAAAAATATTACTTCAAATAGAAACAACAAGTATTCTACTGACAATAAAATTACAACGTAGATGTGCAAATTTTTGACTTCAGTCGTTAGACAATACGGTTTTTCTGCAGTTAAACTTTAATGATATTATTAAAACAAGACACTATTTTTTCTTTGTTTAAGACCTTTAATTTAATTTTTTTTAGATTTCAATGACATTGTTGCTGCTTTTTCTGGAAATTCTAAAATAAATTTTCTCAAAAACACCATTGGCATATGCTGCATATAAAATGACAAAACTACAGGAAATAACAATTGTTCAATATTCCATATAAAGTCAATTTGAAATATTACTCTCTTTGAAAACATCAGCAGTTTCATTTTCACAAGTGGGATGAACATTTTGAGAGAGAATTTATGTTTGTTTTTGATTTCCTTGAAAGCGTCTCCGATGAGCTAAAAGTTATGAGTAAGCACCGAGACGTTGTGCACGTTTGGTAGGTGTACTTCGAAATTTTGCCTCAAATCGTACTCGACTATAGTAAGGTGATCTTTGAATGGCTCAAGAAATTATTTAGAACGGAACATGTGTGATGAAGTTTCATAATTAAATCTTTGCTCATTTTTTGCCTGTCTGAAAGTATCTCAGACAAATAAAAAAATTACGCACGATGATCATTATGTTGTACTCTGTTTGAATATATAATTAGAAGTATTGTGTCTGTTTTTATTCGAGAATAGTGCAGAAATAGTTGAAAGACCATAAAACACCGGATTGAATAATAAGCCAACCAACTTTTTCTAACTCTTCTAAGTCTTTTTTTCGAAAGTTTACTTTCGACTAACAATAATGAAGCACAGTAAGTTTCTCTCAGAACTATCGGTCCACTCATTATTAATATAAGGTACAAAAGATTGTGAGAAAAAAAAGTCACGTTCAATAGAAAATTTTGAAAAAAAAACAGTCCCTAGGATGTTTCGATTCTTGTATTGTCAAGACGATTTCTAATGAAAACGAATTTATTGAATTGAAACTGACTGATGAATTTTACTTGTAAAAAAATCTCAATCGTTTAAATAATACTTCATTAACAATTACAGAAATTTATATATTTTTTCAAGTAAATTAATGAAGATTCAAACTATTTGAAACATTTGAAGGATTAGCTCGTTTCTCGTTGACTAATCATTAGCTTAGATATCAAGCAATTGTGACAATATTATTACAATTTGACTTTTCACTATTAATGAAAAAGTGATATCGTAATACATAAGAAAAATTAATATTTAAAATTTTTTGTCAATAAAAACAAAATTGAAGTTAATTTAACATATTATTACCGAGATATTTAACAACTTTCTGATGAAATCTTTTCCATTACAATTAAAATTTAATAATTAGCAATCTTATTATATGTATGCTTAATATTGAGTTTTTAATTAAAATGAAATTTAAATGATCTATTGATTAATTTTGTTTTTCTAAATTTCTATTTTTAAACTTTAAAAAACAATCTAAAATTCATCAAACAACTGTGTTTAATTTTCAAGGAATAAAGCATAGATAACAATTAAATGAAAGTATTAAATTTCTTGTTAAAATTTTCAATAAGAAAAAAAAAATTGAAAATGATACTTCTTCTTAAACTTGGTATTCAATCGCTATGAACAGGTGAGAAAGAACTGGTTATGTCATACAATAAATGAAGAAAGAAAAAGGTACGAATAAAAGAAAACAAATGAATAAAATCTTGTTCTCCTTTACCGTGTTATCGGACACAAGCTAAATTAAACGGAATAAAAATGCCGAGTGCCAATAACGAAAAAAAAGAGAACAGTCTCTTTTTTTTATTGTATTTATAATAAGGTACATGATATAAACACAATATTAAGACTTAAAATGACTGTTTTTTATATGATCACAAGCACATACGAAAGGCATTATGAATGATTATCGTAATTCGATTACTTTCGTTTATGTAATCGCCTATTGAAGTGTGTATGACATTTTTCTTTTGTTCATGTTCATAGGTAGTTAATATTCATCTATAACCACGCTCATTCATTGACTTAAATATGTTGGAAATAAGTCGTATTTATCTTAGCACTGGTTTACTGCTGGCTATTGTTACATTAATATTTCATATAATTGCAATGGAATATCCACGATGGAAGTAAGTTTTCTTTCAAAAAAGAATATAAAACATTTTCATCTTGTGTCACTGAACATTTCAAGTGGAGAATCATGTTCTGTACACATATATACAAAGAAACTGAAAATCGATTTGATCATACTAACATTCTGAGTTATCTATTTATAAACACTGAATAAGTGTTGGAAAAGATCTACAGAAAATTATTTTGATATCAATTTCAATTCTTTAAATATTAATGATTAACCTCAAATAATAAGAATCTTTCAAAGTATTAGAATTCTTTTGAAAAATTTCTTTAATAATATGACCAAATTTTCTACATATTGGAGGTTCACATATTTTTTTGATAAAAAAAATCATCAGATATGATAAGAGAAAAAGATTTCCTACAATTCAAATATTTTGTTTTTTACTTATATTTAACAAAAGAATATTTTCTTTAGAGTCTATGAACATCGTCGAAATCCTAGTGAAACAATGTTTATTGGTTTATTTCATCGTTGTGAAAATCGACTTATTAATGATGTTTTAAATAAAACTAAAATATATCTTATTTGTGATGAAAATAAATATTTATCATATAATAAAAATTTATCTTATGTATTAAATCAAGTTCAATCAACTGAAGTTCAACGTTTCTGTAATATAGCAGGTAATCCTTATCGTTGTGATTATTCATCAATAAATAAAATTCTTATATCATGTACAATTATATCAATATTCACACTGAGTTTATCTATTATTTCAATTTATTTACATTTACTTATTAATCAATTTAAATATAAAACTCATCTTGGCATTGCTATTATAACCATATCTCTTTTATTTATTGTTTTTCTATGTTTTCTTATAACACTTATTTTACTTAGTTCAACAATGTCATATGATTTATTTGAATATCGTTATAATTTAAATTATCGTTTAATGAAACAAAGTATGTTTGAAAGAAAAAAAAAATTGAATTTTTTAAAATAGGACTGTTGTTTTTATTGTTTAGAACGTCAAAATTTAACAAACGATTTTGAACAAAATATACGACAAATAGCTGCTATTGATTATGATATTCGACTTGATTGGTCAGCTGGTTTAGAAATTATTTCATTAATATTATCAAGTTTTACTTTAGTTTCACAGATTCTTTATCTTTTTTCTACATATAGAAATAGAATTGGATGAAAAAAAAAAAACATTTTCATTTCTTTTTTCAAATCGTTTTCAATGTACTTTTTTTTGCTTTATTCTTTTGCATTAGTTCTTTTTTGAGATAAATATAAAAATTTTTATTAATTTCCTTGAAGACGATGACGTGTTGATGTATCAGGTTTCCATATACCAGAATAGGATTTAGTTGGTCGATTATCTAGACGAGAAAAATTTATTTATATTTTGATGTTTTCTTAATTATAATCTCGTTTCTAGACTCATTTATTACAATCTTGATTCTTGTTCATATTGAAAAATTTTTGTTGCTTACCTGCTGAATTTATTTCTTGTTGTCTGCCGCGATAACGACGATCATTTTCGTTTTGTGATTCATTCATGAAATTGGTAACAGATGCATCAAGATCTTCATTTATAAAGAAAATACAATAAATCTCAAGAAAAAAAAGAGTTAATAACAAGAAATTTACTTTCAATATTATCATGAGTTTGTTGATGACGTTTTCCTTGGGATGGTGTTTGTTTAGTAAGTAATTTAAGAGCATTTTCAAGACGTGATTGTTTCGATTGTAATTCATTAATTTGTTTTTTAGATTCTTCTTCTTGACGTGATAATTTATTTTTTAAATCACGAATTTTACGTAATTTCACACTATCATCTTGATTTGATGATTCTTTTATTTTAATTGGAGGAAGTATAATTTCTTTTCGTTGTTGTTCATCATCTTCATATTCATATTCATTTATCTTGTTTTTATTATCAATATTATCATTATTAATATCATTAGCATTATCATCATTTAATTGAAGTGATTCAGTACGATGTTTTTGTTGATGACTTGATGATGATCGTCCTAATGGTGTTTGCATTTGTTTTGATTGTTTTCTCATTTTTGTTACTGATATTGATCGAGATCGTTGATGATCATCATCAAGTTGTATTCTATCAATTGGTTCATTGTTTTCATTTTCTTGTTGACTTTGATTATTTTCATTAAATAAATTGCTCTTATCATTTGATGGTCCTGTATCAAACGATGAATATGAACGTTGATTATAATTTTGATAAGAACGTTTATATGTTGATGCATTTTGTGGTGATGAATTTGAATAATTAGTATTTATTAAATTAGTCCATGAATCACCTAAATGATTACCATTTTGTTGTTCTTCGCTGATTGATTGTAATGTAGATAGAGGGCGATTAAGAGATTCTCTCATATATTTTTGTGATGCTTGTTTTTCTTCACTTTTTTGTCTAAATCAAAAACATCCGAATAAAAAGTTTCGTAATACAGTCCTATTGTGTCTGAAATGTGGAACTCACATGTATGTTTTACCTTGATTATACTAGTACAAAATACATAAGGTGAAAAATCTTTCTTATACTACTGTTGTTTTTGTAAGAATAATCGATCGTCAGAGAAGCAATCCGCCTTATTCCCTAGACTGAAATAACAG